TTATTATTGAAAATAGCTCGGTAAATAATTGAGTCAAAAGAAAGCCAATTAAATTTGCCAGTTTTTGAGCAAAAAATTAATCGAATACTCCAATATATAAAGGAGTTATCGCAGGTTAAAGCAAACATATTTTATTCAATCGCGTCGTGTCTACGAAATAACTGATTTTTTGAGCTCTACTTTGATATGTTTCAAATAATATATATACCATATTAAAGAGAATATTTTTGTCTAGAATCTAGAAGAAAAATCATTCTATTACCTTATAGTCCAAGCAATAAAGGAAGTTTACCTCAACATAATTAGAAGTTAACATTTTTTGGGGGGGATCGGTTCATTTTCATGTGCTTAATAACATATTAAGTTTGCGACCTTGTACTTCCATAGGGTTTTCAGTTAGGGGTGGTTTTTAGGGTTAATTTGCAGTTTATGGAGAACGCAGCTCAAAAGGATGGTCCAATAGCAAAAAGTTTCAAATTAATGTTGTAGCTGAAGCTTTTTGCTATAAAAAACTCAGCGACAGCACCCCTCTATCTTCTATAGTTTTTTTTCTGCAGCGTCTTGAATAGCAGCATGTTTTTGTTCAAGGTCACTGAATCAACGTTTTGCCATTTTGCGCGCATTTGTTGCAGCAGCGGCCGAATGCATAATCCGATTTCAATTTTTCAAACACCACATTATTTCTAATGAAATGCACTCTCCAATGCTTTTTTGTTCGAATTTTTTGCTTGAAAATTAAGCGAGCACGGACTTGTCTAATGTGCGAGGAAGTTGTAAATTGCATCGAAAACTACCCCTTTCTTGCATTCACTCTAATTTCTAAACGGGGCCAAATATTTGGTGACAGTTTTCGACAATCGGCAGCCAATTTATTCCTCTCATAATGCCCCAGCGGATTTTTTTTTCGTTAATCACTTAATGACTTATTGGCCTGAAAACGTCGCGCGCGATTTTTCAAAAAGTAAAAAAAAATTAAAATTGACGCAAAGCGCTGAAATTTGGTACGATGGCTTTATTTATTGTTCTCATGATTATACTGCAATTTTATATCATGTGAAGCAATTAAAATTGCAGTATATTCGTAAGAACAATAAATAAGGCCATCGTACCAAATTTCTGCACTATGCGACAATTTTAATTATTTTTTACTTTTTGAAAAATCCCGCGCGACGTTTTCAGGCCAATAAGTCATTAATGGCTGTTTCCACCGACAGTTTTGAAGGAGGCTTAACGATAAGTATAACTTAAAATGACATGTCTACATGTAAAAATGTCACTTTAAGGAATACTTATCGTTAAGCCTCCCTTAAAATTGTCGGTGGAAACGGCCATAAGTGATTAACGAAAAAAAAAATTCGCTGGGGCATTATGAGAGGAATAAATGGGCTGCCGATTGTCGAAAACTGTCACCAAATATTTGGCCCCGTTTAGAAATTAGAGTGAATGCAAGAAAGGGGTAGTTTTCGATGCAATTTACAACTTCCTCGCACATTAGACAAGTCCGTGCTCGCTTAATTTTCAAGCAAAAAATTCGAACAAAAAAGCATTGGAGAGTGCATTTCATTAGAAATAATGTGGTGTTTGAAAAATTGAAATCGGATTATGCATTCGGCCGCTGCTGCAACAAATGCGCGTAAAATGGCAAAACGTTGATTCATTGACCTTGAACAAAAACATGCTACTATTCAAGAAGCTGCAGAAAAAAAACTATAGAAGATAGAGGGGTGCTGTCGCTGAGTTTTTTATAGCAAAAAACTTCAGCTACAACATTCATTTGAAACTTTTTACTATTGAACCATCCCTTTGTGCAGCGTTCTCCATAAACCGCAAATTACCCCTAAAAACCACCCCTAACTGAAAACCCTATGGAAGTACAAGGTCGCAAACTTAATATGTTGTTTAGCATATTAAAATGAACCCATCCCCCCAAAAAGATTTCAACTTCTAATTATGTTGAGGTAACCCCTCTTTTCAGATCTCCGTTTCTTGGACTATTAAGCGGTTTAGAAGTTATACTAGGTTAAAGTTGGAAATTTTAGTTTCCGTATATTTTGAGTTTTTTGCTCCTAACTTGGCTCTCGACCAATGAAAAAAGTCGTCCATTTCGATTTCATATGCAGAAAAATACGCTGAATCATCTGATACTAGTCTCAATAAATTATACCTCAATACCGGGTTGCTCCTTAAAACGAAGGCTTTTACGCGCTTCGCCGCCGTCCTATCATAGAGAGTAGCATTTGTCGATAGAAAGAAATTTATTTTCTTTGCTATTATTTTTCTAACTCTATTTCTATCGAGTTAGAGAGTTCGCCTGCTATCTATATATATAAAAATTAATGCCACTTTTCGTTGTAATTTTATAACTCAAGAACGGACTCACCTAGCCAAACCAAATGTTTAGGCTTTGTTCCGACTATTTATTAGATGGTTTATGTGAAGTTTGCACAAAATCGGTCGAGCGGTTCTTCATTTATCAAATTTTTTGTAATAATTTAATTATTCAATAATGGAGCATCATTTTGCTGTCAAATTCAAACTTTTTTCAGCGTTGACAGTACCAGCATGTTGTTATGTCATTAATGTGGTCATTTCATTAAGGCCGTTTTACAGCTCGCAAGAAATCTTGAATGCAATTTTTTGCATGCAAAAAAATTGCATTCAAGATTTCTTGCACGTCGTTTTACACCTTGCAATTTGACTTGTTTGTTTCTCTAACCTTAACCATACTTTTTCGTTTTTAATGTTGTGTTGTTGATGTTTCCATTTTCCAAAAATAAAAAGAGTGATTATAAGTCGATATAAAAAGAAGAAAGCAATAGCAGCAACTTTAAGCATCATAATTACTAAAAATTCCCCAGCTTGCACGAAAACCTTCATGAAAAATGGCACCAAACCGATTGCATGCAATGCTATTCAAGTTTCAAGAATCTTGCACAAACCAATCAGCTGACTCACTTCTGCGCATGCCCTGGTTAAAGTTTCTTGCATATTGCAGATAGAATTGCAAGCTGTAAAACGGCCTTTACTTATTTTATTTGTTTATGAAAAAAATTTACTAAGCCCGCATACGGCGCCATGTCTTATAACCGATACCAAGTTTATTTTGTATTTTGTATACCGCGCCATCTCTGATACCTGGAACGAAGCTCGGCATTGCAGATACAGTAGAACAATGCTGCACAGAACTATTCCACTATTCCGATCAGATAGAGTGATGCAGACAGAGTAGGTCAGATAGAGTAGTGCAGATAGAGTAGAATAGATGGAGTAGTGCAGTGCATGCAGTGCAGATAGAGTGAAATAGGGCTGCGCTAGAATTTTTTTTTGTTTTCTTTACATTCTTTGAACATTCCTGTGCCTGAGTTTATTTATTTGGTGGTACACTTTACAAGAATAATGCCCACAAGCTGCCTAAAAAAGGATGATGTAAAATTTTAATTTTAGGTGCCTTCTGATCCAGAGAGTAAACATTAATTTTCTTCAACCAAAGCCAAATTCACCATCGAAAAAAACTGAATTTAATTCAGCTAATAGATACGGTAACACAACATTTAATAGGTATATTTAATAATTCAGAGGCGGTACGAAGTTCGCCGGGTCAGCCAGTATTCATATAAGACGTGGATTATAAGTCGTTCATCAGTCTCATCATGATTCGATTTCAAATCTTTCAATTCGGTTACACGGTTACACCATCCTTGTTGACAGGAAAGCATAACTCTGTGTTTTCAAAACCACCAGCGATGAAGTTTGTTCTATTTGTCAGCTAAATGTTCCAGAATATAACCAGTTACAAATTTCAATAGGGATTCTTCATTTTCTGACAATTTTAAAAAATTCCGAAACTTCTGCGAAGTTACTTCTTCTGCGTCTTTCCAAATACCGATAAAAACCACCGTTATTCTTAGTGCTTCATACCTTCGACCAAGTGAAAGAATTTGCTTCAGAAAAATACATGCGAGTTCATTAAAAGTTAAGTTGAAAAGGCTTTATCATTTAGTCCTTGAATAAGTACCATGCTATCTATTTAAGTGAATTGAAGGGATTGTGACCCAAAAATGAAGTTTTAGTGCGAAAAAATCTAAGAACAAATATTTGAACCGCATCTTGCTACGATGAACCGTTTCCAAGTATAAGGGTGGTTTAAAGTGACAAACGCCTAGGCTGTGACGTCACACTGGCTTCGGAGGCACAGTTAAAATATGTGTAAAATTTTCCAAGGCAAAAGTCAACGATCTCACTTGAAGCAAATTGCAACCACTTAAAGTATAGAGCACGGTTGAACCACTGAACAAACAGAAGGATATGATTTCGGCGGTTAGCCGGTGTGACGTCACAAGTTCCCGCAAAATTTCTTTTTATGAAGAATTTTCTCGGATAGTATGTTGAATGAAGGACTGCGGTTTCCACGGGAGATCTTAGATTTTTTTTCATGATTTAAGTAGCTTAAGTTGCTTTTTTTAGTCACACCCTTGTTTAACATCAGTTCGAAGAGAAGCGACTGTTGAATATGGTTCAAACTGGAAAAGTCCGAAAAGGCACCTCTCGGTGAATGCACAAATAATTCCGTCGCGACGCGGTTCACGATGGGCTGAGCGCACTCCAGGGCTCTTGGATAAAAATGTATATTTCTATAACCGTTAAAGTTAGCACCTTAATTTTTTTTCTAAAAACTTCGTCAATGTTTTTACTACATTTGATTCCATATATATGTATAGAAATTTTCAATAATACACATATAATGGCTGCGCCTCGGTCTAACTAAAATCTCTTGACAATAATGAAACACTTTCCACCTCGGTATGTAATATACTATTGTAATCCAAACGCAAACAAAAATCAATCCATTATCTTCCTTTATAAAAGAGAGCGATCCAGCTGAATTTTTTTACAGTTGCTTGTTGATGATAAAAATTACATAACAAGCACTGGGGCTTGTTAGATAAATAAAATGAGAATTTCCAATTTCCAGAAATCCCAGAAAATTTAAACACCGATTGTAACATTTAAGTAGTTCTTTATTAATATTTATTTTATTGTCTGAACAATTTTCTTCCAATAACACATTTGGAATAAATAACCTAATTTATCCAACCAAAGTATGTATGTTGTAGCCATAAAGCAAGATGCAGTTATTCTTGAAGTGTACAAAAAAAACAAAGACCCAACAGAAAAATTCCATTGGATAAATTAGACTCTACCAATAACTTTAAAAAACACAAATAAAAATCACAAACACTTTCATTTCAATTTGATTTTATTTGAAATCACACCAAAGAGAAAACAAAGTTTCAAGTTTTTTTTAAAAAATACTAAACAGTAAGTTGGGAACTTTAACCTATTAAATCACAGGCTACACAAATTCATTAATTGATAAATAATCGGTGTGTTCTTTTTTTGTTTAAGTTCTGAGTCGCATAGTATTTAAAAATAATATCGTAACACCGAAAAAATATCAAAGAAAAAACTACAGGGAGGGAAATTTTGAAATAAATAATGGGGAAAAGGGAGGAGGATTCAAAAACATTGATAATATATCCTGCAAATAGTTGTTCAACAATGCTTTAGTAGACATTATTGCGTAACAATTTTGAAGGTTATAATAAATAATGTTAAAACTAACAGATAATATAATAATAAATTAAGACAAAAGGATCGTTTTGTCAAAATAATATTCATTTGTTATGTAACAATTTGTCTTTTGAAACATAATTTTTTACTTCGAGACAAAAATCCAAATACATATTGTTTAATTAATCAAGAACCCCTGGGATATTTTAGTAATATAATAGTCAAGTTTGTGAGTAATAAGATCATACTTCTTACATAACAAATTAAAAACAGTAGCAGAGTATTCAATTTCTATACCTAGTTGCAAAGGGTCGTATACACCAATAACATTCATACAAAGTTTACTCTGTACAAGTTTTATATTTTTCTTAAGCAAAAAAAAAACACTAGTAAATTTTTAGTCTGCGTGAAACTTAGCTGGGGAAATTTAAAAGCTTCTTTGAACATCCTCTATTTTTTTTCTTAATTTCTTGCCACAATTCTATATCAACCAGCAACATAGAACAATTTATTGCCACAAAAAGACACTTTAAATAAACCCCAGGTACGCTTTTAAACTGCCCAAATACCTAAAAAAAACCTACTAACCATCAGACTTCTTTTTTTTGAAAATTACTTAATTGACTGTTTAGAACTTATAATAGGCCGTTCCAAACTTCACGCAGACCTTATCGAGTGATGCTTTACATTTTTGTGGAAAAAATCGAATTTTGGGACAGTTTTTTTTTGAGTTTAAGCTACTTATTGTATCTACAAACGACTTTTTTTTACGTTGTGTATTTGGCCGGACTAAACGGTGCGGCTCAGCTCTTAAATCGTTCAAATCGAAATATGGTTCTTCAAAGGAGGAGCCTGAAAAGAATAAAATAGAAATTTAATCTTAATAAATCTGGAAATAGTCCTAGTTTCAAGGTTTATTCTCACAAGAATCAGACATAAAATAAGGAAGGTACAGACCTGTTGGGTGGGAATAATACACAGGTCTTCCTAATAGTTTACTTACATTTTGCGCACTAGTTTTGAGGCTGGGACGGTAACATTTCTAAACCTTCAATAAAGTAACTGCATATTGATCGTAAATAAATAATGTATCATTTTTCCCACTTATTAGGAAAATAACTGTTTGTCAAACGCTGTTTCATCAAGGCCATCAGGTAATTTTCCTGTTCTATATCTGCTTAGTTATTACATAATATAATCAAATTGCACAAAAAAAAAGTGTATGCAGGTAATAAAGATCTATCAGATTGACACACAATGGTTTAAGAAAAATATTCCAAACTTTTATCACGTTTTTATGTTTATGCACCAACCAACACAAGCAGAGAATATTTATTGAAAAATTCAATGAAATTTTATAGTTTTCCTCAAGAGTATTCTGCTTCCAATGGCACTTTTTTGATTATCATTACTTTCAGTCAAACTTATTTGGTCTTACTCAGATTTCTATTATACATATTTTGATTTGACTCAACCTTAATTGGATTTTACATCTAGACATTTTCTTTGATTCACACAACCGTACACTTAAATGTTTCACATTATTAGACAGAATAATCAGCAAATGTTTCAGCAATTTCTTGGTCAATTCTTCTCTGTAAGGATTGTGCTTCCCTCATGCCGTTGCACTGGCTTGGCATAACATTCCTTTGTACAGAATGCAAACAGGCTACGAAGGATCTTCCAGATTGAAAAACAAATCGAGGATAAATTGAATGAAGAGAAATAACGTGCAAATTGAAATACTTCATTTTTTTATGACACATAATGCACAAAAATACCATTGATCTCTTCCATTGCTGAGTCCAGACGATTTTTGATGTTGATGTTTGGGGCACTCACGATATCCTCACTCAAAGAGTTCCACTTATAGACAACTCTCTTGCTTAGAAGGTTTTTTCTCGGCAGTTAATGGGCTTTTTCTTTGTTCAGTTTTTTAGAGTGTCCTCGGAGATGTGGGTTTAAGTTCGGTGAGAAAATTTCCTGGGGGTTGCTGTCATAGTACTTAATTGTTCAAAATTTTGAAAATTTCAATCAGATCTCCTCTCGTTCTTCTCTCTTCTAAAGATGTTAGCCCGAGTTGCCTCATTTCTATCCTCGTATGGGGTGTGCCGGAACTGCTGTGGAATCTTGCTGAATCTTCATTGCCTTCCCTCCAACAAATTTCTATCCTTTTTATAATAAGGACTCCACACTGAGTGGGCATATTCAATCTTGGGCCTTATGTACGTTTTGTATAGTTGCAGTATCATCTGGCGACTAGTATTGCCGAAAGCTCTTCTTGCAAGGTATGTGAATGAGTTGGTTTTTTTCACAATTGAGGTGATGTGTTTTTCCCATTTCACTGGATACTATAATGCCCAAGTCCTTTTGCGAGTTGATGTGCTACAGCAAACAATCATTTAGGATATATTCATTTCCTGAATTTCCAGCATCCACAGACAGCACCACACATTTGTCAGCATTGAGTTTCATCAGCCATCTTTCAGGCCATCTCTGAATTGTAGCCAGATCGTCTTTCATGTCTGAGTATTGCCTCAGTGCATTACAGTACAGCTTGGTTTTGTCTGCAAAAAATGTGATGTTTGTCTTTATGTTCTCAGCCAGGTCACTAACATACAGGAGAAACAGGAGAGGTCTCAGCACAGAGCCATAATCAGTGAGGTCCCTGATTATGTTATGGAAAGAAAAGCAGACTCCGTTGACTCTCACTCTAGACACTTGGCCTTGTATAAATTCTCCTATCCAGGTGTGTAGACCGCCTCTCACTCCAAAATGGCTCAACTTGTAGAGAAGCCTTTTGAATGGCACCTTGTCAAAGGCTTTCTCATACTCCAGGTAGCTAATATCTGTTTGTATGTTCTTATCAGAGTATGTAGTCCAGTCGTTTAAACATCTTAGCATGTTGGTTGTTGTTGATTTCTTCTTCTGGAAGCCGTCCTGCGAATCAGGTATAACCTCATTCAATAATTCATCCAGTTCCTTCACTATGATTCTTTCCATAACCTTACAAACAGAACTTGTTGAGCTTACTGGCCTGCAGTTTTCCGGTTTAAATCTGTCACCCTTTTTGTATATTGGTGTTATAATAGCCTGCTTCCAGCAGGCTGGCAAAGTCCCCGAGGTCATAGATTCATTTATTGCATGACTTACGGCCATTTGCACCGGTACAACTTAAGGGACATTTAATCCAAGTGGAGCTTTGAATGTGACTCTCGTAGAAACAAAAGTCACATTCAAAAGCTCCACTTAAATTAAATATCCCCTAATATCCCTTAAGTGATAGCGGTGCAAATGGCCATTAGTGGTGTTGTTAAACTTTTTACGCATTTATTTAGAAAAATGGACGGAATTTCATCCGGACCAGAACTTGATTCAGTTTTAAGGCTTAGAATAGCGTTTTCCACCTTTAATAGTGTGAAGTCAATGGTGTTCAACGAACTAAAGTTTCTAATGCTATCAGGCAGAACCGGAATCTGGTCATTCTCTTGTGTAAATATGTTCATAAATTGTTTGGCAAACGTTTCCGATGTATCCTCATTGCTGGCAATCATGTTGTTGGTATCGTCATCCTGTAATGTGATTATTGACACTTTTGAGTTTAGACTTTTAGACACATATTTGCAGAATTGTTTGTTTGACTTTGATCTTTGTATTATTCTATGTTCGTAAAATATTTTTGCTTCAGCTGTTGCACGCCCCCCCCCCCCCCTGAGTGCCTGAAAAAATACTTTAAAACTCAAAACATTTGAAGAAAATCATAGTAGGGGAAACTGTTGTATAGTGGGACAGGTTCCTTAGTGGGACAATTCAAATTGTCCGCCACCGGTATCGCTTAAAATTCCGAAAAAAATTGTGTCAACTGCTTTATATATAAGCATTAGATATAACCTTGGCATTGGCCGTTAGAGTCTTAAATATGGCGGGATTTTCGTTAGTGTAAGCATTAAAGTGACAAAGTTTTTTTTTACTACCACGTGTTGGGCAAAGTTTATGCCAGTAATATCCAATAGTTTGTCCTGAATTTGAGGATAATTATGCCAGAAGGTGTCTTGAAGGTGAATTAAGGTTATTTTTTGCTAGTATTTGTTTATATTTTCTCAAATTCAGAAAATTTCAAAAAACGTATAAGGTTGTATTGTGGGACAGTTTATACTGGGACAGAATTTCCGGGTTCCATATTGGGACAAACATTTTATATGCTCTATAATGGAACACTTTTGTATTTTACCTAGTTTCAATACCTCCTTTCTTCCAGAAATTGATAATAATAGGAGCCGGAAAAACAAGAAATCGTTTTTTGAGAGTCGAAAAATTCACCTTGAGAATGCTGGGGAGGGACTCGGCGGTAGATGCTGTTCTTAAAAATGAAACCAATATTAGGACTGCTGTAGTTCAATTTGGAGTTAGCAAATCAGCCTTGCATAGAAAGAAGCACAAAATAAATGAAGCAAACACGCAGGAATTAAATTTCAAAGGCAACATGGTGTCATTGGGTGTCAAGCAGATTTTCAGTGACGATGAAAAGCCAATGCTTAGCAAATATCCAGTTACTTCTTCTCAAAGGTGCTACGGTTTAACTAGCAGAAAAACTAGAATGTTGGCTTATAGATTTGCCTTCGCAAATTAAAATAAATCCAAAAACATGGACGGAAAATGAAATCGCCGTATAGAAGAATGGTTCAAACTTTTTCGAATTCGAAAAAGTTTGGCTACCTACCTAATTTATGTTAAAGTTCTATAATTTTGTGAATAAGCGACCGAATTTTCTTTTTATATTTACTTATTTGGGATCAAAAAACATTGTCCCACTATACACATGCATCGTTCCCAGTATGCAACATGGGGTGGTTGCATAGTGGGAAAGTGATGTATAGTGGGACATTCAATTTTTTCTATGTTAAAGTGTAAAAGTTATAGAAATTTTTATAATTGTTAATAAACAAACTACTTTTAAATATATTAGAATATTCACAATAGTTAAAAATTATTCAACAAATTTTTTATTTCAATTAGAAAAATATTGTCCCAGTATACAACAGTCTCCCCTATACATATAGACAAATTTTATAGAAGAATTTTCCAATAAAATTTAATAGAAAATTTTTCCAATAAAATGTTAAAGACAAATTTTCTAAGCTGACACCATTGTTCAATTTATCGTTTTGTTTTTATCGGATACTGATACTAACTATTGAAGCAGGTATAATTTTTTGCTCTCCAAAACTGTTAGAAATAGACGCATTAAACCTTGTACCATTAGAATAAACACGAACTGAGTTATTAATATACATTGTTGTGGGCCCAATTTATCTGGAACCCAATTTGGCTCTGAATATATATTTTTTATTTCGGCGGTGTTTTCTGAAATTTTGTTTGTGTGAATATTAGGGGGCCTATGCGGACTTTCCTTAGTTATTGTAGAAAATATATCTAATCAAAATATATAAGGGGAGCCAAGTCAAAAGCAGTATTTTTAAAAATTTATTTTTGCAACGGCCTCGAAGTCAATAAACTGCTTCTTACTCTGCTCCCCCTGTACACTGTATATTTTGATTAGATATTTTTTCAACAATTGAGGAAAAGTCCCCCCTAATATTTACACAAAATTTCGCAAAAATCAGCCGAATTGAAAAAAATATATTCAGAGCCAAATTGGCTCCAAATGAATTTAGCCCAGAGTGTATTATAGGTCCTCCTATTAAAAAAATAAGACTTTGGTCAATATCTCAAAATCGGGACTAAGTAGAAAAAAATTGAGTACCTACGTCATTGGATTCTGCTTGAAAAAGTTTTTCTAGGAAGCTTATAAAAAAATCAATTATTTTTAGAAATAAAAAAGTTTGCACCAA